CCTCAGTGGCTTCAAGCGTAGCCTCTACAAGCAGTTTACTATTCACTTAAATTTGATCATTCTCACACCAGCATCACCTGCTGGTTAGAAACGGGTCATGCTATTAAATTATTAATTACTCTTAAAGAAAGTGACTCCGTGTGCATGAGTGTGAGACGCCAGAGGCTCTGATAAAATGTCCGAGCATATTAATAAAACACACAAATCGTAACAGCAAAACCTATAAAAAGCTTTTATAATTTTTATGTCCGCCATCTTGGTTTTTAGATCTAGAAGTTCTAGATCTAATGGAGCTAATGCTAGCAAGCTTGGTTAGCAACCACAGACTGTCATGCTCCGCCTTCTTGGACAGTCTGCCAGTACAGTGACCTCACAGCAGCCATATTATTGGTCACGTGATATCCTTACAAATGCCCCCAAAGGCTCCAAGAGCACAAACATAGTGCAGAGGTCCAGGAATCATAATTCGGAGATTCCTGCTAATTATGACATTTTAACATTGCAGTCTGTGGACACTGACTCACTGCTGGAGCCTCCAGTGGACATTAGAGGAACTGCAGCTATAGGTGCATAAACAAAAAAAGAATATCATTATTGCTTAGATGCTAAATTATATTCCTTGGAATATAATTTGGAAGTTGGACTGTTTGACTTCTTAGTTCAGGTCAGATTTCTTCACGGTGAACATGGAGATTCAAATCTTTTTCTCAGCTCTCTCTTTCTTCCTCCTCTTCTTCCTCTCTCTCTACACAGCAAAAGCTTTTTTTCCTCAGCTCCACAAATGCAAATCGGCGAGTGTCGCTCGAGGTAAAATCAGCATCTTTAATTAAAAAATTAGCAGCAAACAAACAACAGAAAACCTACGAACGATTAAAGGAAAAACAAGCCGCAGGAGCCGCAGAGCCGTACAAACACAAACACACACCACAAATATGTGTCTACGTCAGTCTGCCGGGGACTAATTAATAACCAATATTTTGACATCAAATACAGACTTTGATCCTACAAACACTGATCAATCGTCAGGAGAGCCAGCTTCGGGTTTTATTTTCAGCGCGACAGAATCCAAACCAACGTGTTCGTGGACCAAACCGCACAATAACAGTGAAAACAGTTCAGAGTTATCGTATCTGCGAGTTAAAGGATCATTCAGGATGTTTATGGCGCACTGGTTAACTTAAACCTGCTGCACATCAAGTCTCTCCACACGGCAGACGACCACGAACGAGCCAGCGCTGATTTACACGAAGCAAAAAGCAGTGACTGTAATTTTATTGTCTATAAACCCTGAATATGAATAACTGCATAAATCAGATCTGATAAACGTGGCTCCAGAATAAAGGTCACACACTTTGGTGCTCTTTCCAGAAAAAGAGTCAAATGGAATTTTTTAAAAAAATAAAATGACAGTAATTATCTGATGTCTTTATTTCATGACAAAAAATCAGCATGTCAGAGTATAAGAACAGTTTAATCCAAAACCTGATTTGAGAACTGAGAGATGGATTTAAAAGGAAGTGATTTTTTTTCTAATTTTTATTAGAAAAAAATCATTTTCTGTTTTTTATTTTTGGCGTTTTTATTTAAACTTTTATTTTTTTAGATTTTATTCTCAATGTGATTCTTCTAAACGAGGCCATCTGTGTGTGTTTAACAC